CATAAACAAACAAGCATTCTATTTATTCAAATACTACTTACCATTAAGACGTAAGAGCAGCCATCAGTCTCCTTCGATGAAGAAAAAAAAGAAGAGAAAAAATGTAAAGAAGAAAAAACTCACCAATATAGTAAGTACAGTCCTGCGTACGAATTTCAAAGAAATGGGTATTCGATCGTTTGAGCGTTTCGTGGTCCACATTTTTCAAATCCAAAACCTCGTTCAGAGGAATTTCCTTCAAATAAAGTGAATGGTCTTAATGCTGAACAGTGACCGTGACATCCCAAAATTGGTGAAGAAAGGTAACACTTAGTGATAATGATACGATAAATAACAACAATTATAGTTCATGAAACAGACGAATACAAAGGCAAATGCGAAAGCAAAAGAATCAAAGTGAGAAGAAAACGATGAAGAAGGCATTGGAGAAAGATGGGAAGATAAGGAAAATATGTAAAAGAGACATTTTCAGAAGAGAAAGACGACAGAAAAGTGCAATTAAGAAGAAATAGCAAAAAGATAAGAGCATGCGAAAGAGAAGGAAAGAATTCTCGAGTAGTTTATGAAAAGGAAGAGCTGCTCGATAACGCTGCTGCAGATGAGTAGCGAGGCATACAAAATATGATTTTCGCAGAGTTTGAATAGTATAGAACCATAGAAAAGTGATTAAAAATAACCAGAAAACAAGTAAGATAACAAAAGAGACAGGGGATTTGAAGGACTCTATTCAGCAAATTCGAGGAGATGCGCAAACAAGTTGTAAGATTTCCAAAAAGAGCAGCGGCTTTAGAAGAAACGATAGGGATAAAGCTAGATGCTACATGTCAGCAAAAAAAGGGGAGAAGATGCTACCAGAAGGCGTGATAATGAAAATTTACATCTTCAGAATACTTCGCTTAAATGGTGAAGGAATAAAAATGGCTGAGAAACTGGCAGAAACACACGTGTGAAAAATACAAAAAGGAAAGGGAATCGTTGTGCCTTGAAAACACGAGAGTCTCACCTTGAAGTAACGCGTTGAACTCTCATCCTGATACATTATCAGGCTTTTCGTATCCAATCGCCAATAGTGCTTTTTCCTCTGCAAAAAGAATAAAGACGTTTGAAAGACCGAACCAACGGTCGGAAAAGCAGCCAATCCGCAGTGCTTTTTCACTGGCCGTGATACATCTGAACTCACCATGTTCATCTGGTTTGTGTAATGAACAACCCAGCCCTTCCTTCAGAATTTTGTTGCTTTTTCGCTTCGTTTGCTTCTTTGACATCACAACCCGCATCAAAGGAATGTTCTGAAAATTTCGGGATAATCTGAAACGGTCTCAAACAAAACTGCACTTGGAACTACAAGGGTGCTCTATGAGGAGACTCAGAAGCATATGCTATTCTGAATTATACATGAAGCTATGGTTTATTTTTAACCAATTATTTAAAGTCGGGCGGAAGTGGTGTAGTGGCAAGTGGCACGCTTACCACGCGAATCAAATCCTGGGTCGTGAGTCGCCCGGGCCAACCAAGCCTTCCATCCCTCCGGGGTCGGTTAATTGGTACCAGACTTGTCTGGGAGGATAAAAACACTGACTTGTACATCGGCTGGCCCCCGCAAGTCATTGTATAGGCCACATCGCATTCAAACGCCACTACGAATGTACAAATGGAAGTAGAATGCGTGCCGCATCCCAAAAAGGGATTGATCAACGGCAAATGCTTTATCCTTTATCCTTTAATTGTTTAAAGTGTGAAAGGAAGAGCCTTGGAGTAGACCCAGCCATATATCCCCTAGCGCGCTGAGACACCTTGCTCTCCAATTCTGTCCTGTGACGTCATCGAAACCGCTCCGCTCTCCAACCATCGCTTTACTGCCTCTAAGGATGCCTGCCAATTGGAAGAAACTTGAAGGGATGAGCAACAGCTCCAAGGTATCAGTTGCGTGGAAAACATGTGTTATATTTTGGATAGAGCTCGCAGAATTCGAGAATCGGTTTCACATGAAACGAAGACTTGAAAAAAGTGACAACATGGAGTGGCTTCCAGGCAGTGGAGGAGATGAGCTGACCGCAGAATTTATGCTCATTTAAAAAAAATCTCAAATAAAATGTAGCGGTCGGACCTAATAAATCACCTGTTACTTTTTAGAAAGATGAAAATTCTTACTTGGCTCTCTGTACTGATGACATCATCATCAGGACTAGTCTGACCGTTGAAACCGACTTCAGTGCCTTGTAACGGCGCACTTGGTGTGTTCTGAGCTTTTTTATGTGCTCGCAGTTGCATCTCATCTTCCCGATCTTCTGTGTTGCCTTAAAATTACATGGAATCCGTCAATGAGATTGATCAAGATCGAGTGCACTCACATTGCACACACGACGTGATTTGTAAGGTAAGCAAAAAAGCAGACTGGTAGCACTCCAAACGATCACGCAATTACAGATACCCTTTCAGCCAGCGAAGTCCCTTTTTTCAGAGGTAAGCAAACCAGCCCTTTTGGCGTTTCGGCTGGGACCGTATGCTGAATGTTGGGGAGGGGATGGGGTCCCCGAACGGTCGACGGTTTACTTCAACTCGGTTGGTACGAG